TTCTCGCAGGACCAAATATTTCTGTCTCTTACTGTACACTTCACTCAGCACCTACTCTGGAGGGGAGTGCAAAACTGGTAGGAACAACAAACAACGCACACTTGGGACGGCAACGGGTCTCATCTTGGATGGGTAGCAATGGCACATGTGACCAGCAGCTGGAGGAAGTTCCTTGCCATTGTCTAGCCAGGCACAGCTTGCTCTTTGAAAAGGTTGTTCAGCTATAGGTTTGTCCGTGTGGTCGAGGCATGGACTGCTTAAACAGAGATGTGTTCATAAACTTGACATGCTCCCTGACTTTGCCGCGAAGCAGGACATGGACCGAGATCAAGACTTGGACAGCGAGCACGATGTGGTCAGCTGGAAAGGCTTCATGATCCTGGCCCGACTGTGCTTTTACGGGAGAAGCCAGGACAGGCAAGCTGACTTGCAGCAGCCAGGGACCGCTGAATGGTTCAGGGAGCAAAAGAGCAACAGACAAAATAAAAAATACAGACAAAGCAAGAGAGAGAGGGAGAGAGAGAGAGAGAGAGAGAGAGAGAGAGTAAGAGAGAAAGAGAAAGAGAGACAGAAAGAAAAAGGAAGAGAGCATGGTAGTACAGAAGAGAGAGGACATAGAAGGAAATAATGGGTTTTCACATACAAAGGCTCTGCCGTAGGCAGAGCGAAACCTAGAAGAGATACATAGATATAGAGGTGCATAGACTGAGACAGAGCAAGAGAAAGAATGAGATTTACACACATACATAGACACAGACAGAGAGAGAGAGAGAGAGAGAGAGAGAGAGAGAGAGAGAGAGAGAGAGGGAGGAAGCAAACATTCAGCAGAAACAGCAAGAAGGAAAGAGAGAGGGACAGACACCGGAGAGAGACAGAGAGACAGAGAGAGAGAGAGAGAGAGAGAGACGAGGAGACAGAGAGCAAGAGAGAAAACAGCAAGAGTGACTAGCAATAAAACATAAAAGAAGGGAGGGAGAGAAAGGAGAGAAAAACAGGGACAAGCAGAGATGGACAGGGAGAGGGGTGACAGAAAGCGGGCATATGAAGCAGACTTGAGTGTATAGTAATTGTTTGAGCAATTGTAGCAATAGCATCCGTACAGAATCACACCAGGGAGAACAAAATAACCAGAGAGGGAAAGAGACCTGGATTTTGCAAGGAGGCATCGTCTGGTGGAGTCCGGCATGCGCCTCCTGCAGACATGGAAGAATCTAGCTTGCAGCATCAGGTTCTGACCACTTCTCTTTGTCACTGTCACCCTCTCTCTGAGTCTATGTTTTTCTTTCTCTGATTTTGGATATATGGGATATTTGTCTTTGTTTGTTGCTATATCTATACTATCTCTCTCTCTCTCTCTCTCTCTCTTTTTTTTCTCTCTCTCTCTCTCTCTCTCTCTCTCTCTCTCTCTCTCTCTCTTTCTCTCTTTCTCTCCTAGATATGGCAGGAGTTCGACGAAGCTGAACAGGTCGAGGGATCACAAGCAGAAGCAGATCAGGCCTGGTTCTAGTCTTGCCAACGTGACCCAGCTAATGCCAAAGAACCATGGTTGTTTTTGAATGGAGCGTCTATGTTCCTGTCTTCGTCGTTCTTATAGTGTGGAGGGTGTGCGTGGGCAGGGAACAGGGTCCTGATCATTCCGTAGGCATGTTGGCTGAAGCGACCAGATGGCTCGGATGACTGTGTTTATGAAAAACGCTGGACTTTCTCTCTGCTTTGTTTGTTATCTGGGTTGGATAGCTTCTTGCTCACATAGAGATCTACAGCGATCGAGACTGTTTTAACTTCTTGGCCACTTGGTAGTGATGCTTTGACCTGCGGACGAGTCTTCAGCTGAGGAGGGAGATGACAAGGACTGCATCGCCGGCAGGTACCTTTCATGCATTGCTCCACTGGCTCAGCAAGCCACTGACGGTCGTCGGTTGCTTGCTGAGTCAGTGGAGCTCTGCATGAAAAGCCCTGGCATCCCACAACCCAGGCCAGCCACCAGTTCCAGAAATCATCTGAGATAGATTGGTGGCCTGGCATCAGATGGAAGAGGATGCTGCAAATACAGAACTGGATACAATCGGCCTTGCTTGATCTGCTGGAAGAGTATCTATCTATATAGTTTGGGCCGACTAGCAGTAGTATTCAATAATACTCCAAGTATTGAATCAAGTAATGATTGAAATCACATCCTGCCAAAAGCTCACAAAAGCTCAAAAACTCAGGAAATAAGCTCAAATCTAT